AAGAAGAAGAAGAAGAAGAAGAAGAAGAAGAAGAAGAAGAAGAAGAAGAAGAAGAAGAAGAAGAAGAAGAAGAAGAAGAAGAAGAAGAAGAAGGCGGAAGAAAAAAGAAGGGGAAAAATGGGGGACTAGAGAGATGGATCAGTGGTTACAAGTGCTCCCTGACCTGATGACCCACGTTCAGTTCCCAAAACCCACACGGCAGCTCACAGTCATACACAACTCTAATTTTGGGGGATCTAACACACTCTTCTAGCTGCTGTGGGCACCAACCACCTATGTGGTCCATATATATATACATGTAGGCAAAACACATGCACATAAAAATAAATAAATAAATAAATATTTGCATAGTAAATAAATAGAAGTTAAGAAAAGAAAAGCATTTCAAATTTAAAAATTTCCAGTTTGAAAAAAAAAACAGTTTTACATATACTAATAAGAATTTTTAGAAGTGGGGGGGTCCTTTTCTCCCTCACTCACACCACCTCATGGCAGATGAGGGGCAGGGCCAGAGGCACAACACAAATTCCTACACATCCTCCAAATCTTATCTTCAGAGGTAAATCGATGATATCTATATAAAAAGCAATATGTTGAAAAATGAGCATGAAAGCAAAAACGTGTTAATTACAAATGTGGTTTTTAAAATTAAGAGACAATTAAGAAATAAAATTTGAATACATTTCAGAAAATTTACTGAAGTTTTTAGAATATTACTAAATGTATACAATGATTTCTATATTACTTCATAAATATGTACCAAGCAGGAAAAATAATTTTTATATTTATAATTTTATTGTAATTTTACCTCCATTTTTAAAATACCATATAAACAGCTAAACTGCATTGATACAAGCTTATTTTAAGAAGTTTAACAGATTCTAACTGTTCCCATAGTTTGAAGGCTTAAAATAGCTTCCAGTTTGTGTAAAGATAAAGGGTAGTTTGAAATTCTCTTTGTGAATCATATAAAAGATATTGCAGGAAATACGAGTGTATGAAAAGGGCCAGAATTAGGGACTGCAGCTTGACCTAGGATGAGAAGTGTGTATGAAGATGCCCACATGATGGGATGGTCCATCAAACAGGGCTGGATGATGAACCAGACTTAGAGAGGAAAGGCGGATCAGCAGTTTCATTCTGAAAAGGAAGCCACAAGATGAATGTTTCACTATTATAAGCACATCTGGGGACATTTCCATCCTTATAGAGCCTTTCCCATAATAGCCAGCAGCTCTTTAAAGCTTTACATTAATGGTTCTTCATGAGATTAAAGATTATTTTCTGTCAGTCTGTCTATACATTTACTTAGAAGACACCAGTGCCCCCAGAGAAAGGGAAACTGCTTTGGTAGTAGCTTGTAGCAAAGTAGGTCAGCTCAAAGAGGGCAGAGAGCTGCCTGAAGGCAGGGAGAAAGCACAGGGCATTAGATGCAGGCACACATGCTACAGGCTGACCTCTCTGCCAGGTATTCCTTATTACTATGCCTCCATGAGAAAAAAAATGTGACAACATGCTCAGTGAAAGGATTGTTGAGAAAGCAGCCTTCTCAGAGCAAAGGTCAGAGAGTGACTGTTCACAGTGATTTCCATTTAGGGCCCTGGTATGGAAATATGGGGTGGTATTTAAAAGAGAAAGATCGGCTTTGGCAATAAGTGTGAATAAATTGTTTGTGGTTAAACATCGGCTGAAGGGAACCACATATTACATATAGGTTTTCAATAAATACCAGCAAACCCTTATTTTTATCTCACGTTTGTGGAAGTTTTATCATTTATTTTTGTTCCCTCTCAACATGACACTGTTTTTCTTTGTTGTAGAAACTTTGGATTCTCTTATTTAATACTTTTATCTATTCATTAGCATGAATAAGCTCTGTTATAAGTGACATAAAAACCTCACCCTTCTCCATGTGTGTTGTAGAAAACTGATACTAATGAGGAAAATAACTAGACATTCATGTCATCGTGCTGAACCGTGTGGAAGATTTTTGTCTGTCTGTATTACCATCATGCTATCCTGTATATAGATAGAAGTCTTAATGAACTTTGACCTCTGATACCTTCTTAGCATGTCTGATGTAGGCATCATATTTGCATTGGTCTGTTCCACTTGAAATGTGGCAAAATTGCCCCTGAAAATGTGCTTAAATTCATTTTATTAAAGGAGCAGATACAATTTTGTCTACATAACCCTGTCTGGTGATTTAATTCAAAGCAACGTGGAAGTAACACGTTGAAATCTAAGGGAGGGAAAGAGTGAACTAAAGGAATTGTGAAATGAGGCTGGAGACATGGCTCAGCAGTTAGGAGCACTACCACTCTTCAGAGGACTGGGGTTGGTCATTACAACCATCTGTAACTCTAGTTCCAGAGGATCTGATGCCTTCTTATGGCCTCTTTGTGTACTGCATGCCTGCATGCATGTGCTGTATGGACAAGCATACAGGCAAAACATCCATAAACACTAAATAAAAATAAATAAATCTTTTAATTTAAAAAAAATGTGGAAGAAGGAAGGTCTCAATGCAAGTGGATGTTTGGGTGTGTATACCACATAATTTTAAGATAGAAATCTAATCCCTGTAGTTAACACAGGAAGCCTGGAGAATTTTAATGTGTTCCTACTTCCCTATATGTTAGTATTCATCTTGTGAGACACATACGAGTATTGTTTGGCTTCTTTATCACTATGATTTAAAATCATGGTAGACATACCT